TTGATAAATAAAGATTCGTTATATACATGGTAATGAACATTTAGAACTCTCTGAAAGATCATAACACATATAATTGACATAATCATATTCTTTTCATTATATTCAACAATCATTAAATTAGATATTAATGTTGAAAAGATACTCACCTCCCCACTACTCCTATCGTGGTTGGTCCTGTGTTCTGAATCCCTGCTCTCACGGCTTCTCTTGTCTTTTAGGGATCGTGCACAATCTACACATATGCAAGCAAGCATGTTACAGCTGAAAATGTTAAGAGACAATTCTGTTTTTATACTGAAGAAAGGAGAAGGAGATGAGAATCTAGATAAATAAAAGGACAGAATCGTATTACTTATCTCACAGGCATTACCCATACGTTATACGTAACAATTTATAGATTAGGCTCAATAATGTTCACAGATATATGCTTCTCCTATCGGGCAATTGTCAAAATATAAAAGTTTGCTCTCTCTATGCGGAATGGGGAAGACGACAAACAAAAATTATTTACCGGAATACTTGTCCCTAGAGGAGGATAGTTTATAGTCTCTATTTTCTCTCTCCTTCTTGTAAAGAGGCTTGGATGTGTAATTCCGAGGGCTGTCCCGGTCCGTCCCCATGCCCATTCCCAAGCTGCCAGCTGGACTGTAAGAGTTACCATTTGGAGAGTCGCGCATACGTCCCTCGTAGCGATTGTCCGACGACGTGGTCGAGGAGGAATAGCCACCCTTAGAACTGCTGTACTTTGCGTTCTACAATCAGATCGTTAGCGATGTGTTTGTGCGTGTGTGCGTGACCACGAGAGATTGATATAAATAAATCAGATACATCAAGATTGCTTACTTTTCTCATTCTGAATATATAAGATCGTTATTAAAAATGTTATTAAATATTATAGGCTCGATAACCCGCTTGAGAATAACAGACTGTCTTGATCTAGTGGCCGTCTGCAAAAATGCACGTGTGAGAGCTGTATATATTGACTTGAATTGTCTCTAATGACATAGAAGGGAATTCAAAGGAGCTGTAAAATATCGAATATTGAAACAACGTTACGGTAAAAATGACTGTATAATTCTGTAAAAATCTCAGATTTCTCTATAGAATCGTCAGTGATCTTTCAGAAACACTAATCGTTCTTACCGTAACAATTTCTCGTGCCAATTATGTGCATATATCCATTTTTAAACTTAAGACAAATTCTTGTCGCTCATCTGAACATTCTTCATTCCAGTAAATACTTTATAACACGAATAACATTTCTCAATATTGTACCGCAAAGACAGACATGTTATGGTATATCCCAAATTTTCCCAAGTACAAAAAAAAAACCTATCAAGCTACTCATCACATTTACAGTTATTTTCGACGAAATACAGAACGAGGTGACGCAAAAGGCGCAGAAACACGAAGAGGAAACGGGAATGAGGTCCTTACCGAGGGGTAGGATCCCAAATATTCTCGAGTACTACCTGCTAGAATAAATTATTGATTTTCTGAAAAGTGAGGTTATGTTTACAAGACCCCAGCAGGAAGCAATTTCGTATCGCGACGCGAAAATCGGGCGGTACCGCGATTAATTGCCGTTCCGCTCATCTCGTGTGGACCGCGATTTGAGCACGGAACGTGTACATTTAATCGTTAATACCGCCCCCGAAGTAAACGATGGCTTCAAGAGAGAATAAACGTCACAGTCAATCAATGAGAGACACGGGGACAACTCTCTTAAGGACAACTCAAGCTAATTACGGTTACAAACATAGATTGATCTCTGCAAAGTACCTCGATTATTCGCATCGCGACGACGCGTCTAACGGACGGAACGTGCAAAGTATCATCAATGAACGAAATGTCACTTGTCAAAGCTGGGGATTCTTTTCGCCTGATCGAGGCTCGTCAAAGGCACCTTTACAAACGCGGCGGGCCAAGTCTTCCAGCGTAATAATTACAGCGAATTACCGACGATTGAGCCAATCGCGATCGTCCGACGACGACGTTGGCGCGCCTCTCGACCTGGACGAGATTCGAGTCCACCTTATGCCCGCGCGCCGACTGGGAGGGAAAAAAAAATCGGAGCGCGAAGGAACGCGATAATGACGACGACAAAGACGGGCCCGTGGGGGAGCGAGCGATCTCGCGGAAACGACGCGAACGCGATCGTCCGGATGCCGTTGAACGCGCATTATCGATTCCCGGGGCGATTCGCGACCGCGAGAGGTTCTGTCGAGTGGGGCAAAAAAAAAAAAAAAAAGCGACGGCGCCCAGCCGAGAAACCGAATACGAACTTTGGAGCTTGTCCGCGCGGATGAGTGCTGTCACCGCGGGGTCCCGTATCCTCCGCGCAAGAACCGGAGCGATCTCATCTCTCTTTCTCTCTCTCTCTCTGTCTGTCTCTCCGTCCTCCTTCTCCCTGTCCTCGGACGTGTCGCGCGGGCAACGACGCGGAACCGCGGGCGAAAATAATGCTGCTCGAAGTAAAGGCGAAGACGAAGACGAAGGCGATGCCGATGGCGATGGCGAGAGCCAGACGACGTGAGGCTGCGAGAAACTATCACACGCACACACACCCCTCCCCCTTGCCCCTACCCTCTCCGTATCCTAGATCCACCAATCGTCTCGGTGGTGCGGCAGATATTTACCTGATAGGGATGGGCCTGGTGCTTTTCGAAGTACCTGGAATCATAAGACAACGGGCCGTGAGTGAGGGAGGTCGTCGCGCGGTGTCCGCCGCCGCCGCCGTCGCGGTCGTTTCCACGGGGAACTGCGCCCGAGCGGATCCCCATCGTGGAAAGCTGGTCGTGCCGCGGGACGTCGCGCGGCGGGTTTTGTGGCAGTGAGTGCTTGCGATGCGTGTGTACGGTCGAGCGGGTCGTACGGACGAATGGACGGATGTCGGGTGACGAGAGGTGAGAGGCGAGAGCTGGTTGCGGAGAGAGAGAGAGAGAAAGAGAGAGTGAGCGAGAGAGACGGTTAGCGAGAAGGAAAGAGGGAGACGGAGAGACAGAGAAAGATTGGCCGTGTGTCAGTATCGGGTATTTGACGGTAGAGCCCTACCCATCGCTGATCCTTTGCGGTTTCCTCGCATGCATTACCATCAATGCCAGTGTCTGTGGGAAATTCGCGGCCTCGGATGTTCCCTTTTCGGTCGGTTCAGTGTCATAAAAACAACATTAACGCTTATTTAGCAGTTAACTTTCTTTCTACCCGGACGCCATGTCACATACGTGCTCGGCCGCTGCCGGGCGACTCGTACGAAGCGCTCGTGCGACGGCGTGCGCGCGGCCCGATGGTGGGGGAGCTCCGGTCACGTCCAGGGACGTGATGGGGCACGAAGGTGCGCGGCGGATGCTGTTTAGTTCCATAAATGTGTACATATATATTTATATGTACGTAGGTACACGGTACATAGGTATATGTGTCGCGGCACTGTACCAATCGTCAATCGCTCTCGGCGAACGCCAATTCGTTTTACGAACGCTACACAGGCGTCGAGATACGACGTGCCCGAGAGTTCTACGTGTAGCGACATATAAGGTAAACGTACCAGTGGCCGCACACGTCCCAGTCGCCGCACACGACTTTAATGTTTTCAATTTATTAAGCATTTCGTGAAGAATATTGCAAATTTAAAAATTGTGTAGGGATCTACAATACGTTATTGTAATAACAAACAAATTTGAAGTATGATTCTGCACGGATTACCATTTATTTTAAATTGTTTATTCGGTCTCGCACGTCACGGCTGTTCGGATACTGGTACAACCCTGCGAAGTTCGCTAGTCTCAGTAACCGCACATCGCGTAGCACGCTGTTTCTCGATCGATGCAAAGTTGTTACTACGGAATTAATTCTGGTGTTTCGATTAAAAAAAAACAAATTATCGTGTGGAAAACCGATTGATAAGTAAGTACTCATTGTTAATAATATATCTGCAATAAATCTAATGTGCATGCTGAATCTGTGCAACCAGTATCAGAAAAATTGTTTGCTGTTTACATGGAGAGGTTATGTTACGGCTGAATATATTTTGGTTTAAGGCTGCGGTCCACTTGACGCCACAAATGCTTTGAAGCGTTTTTCTTCTCCTTCTTTCTTCATTAAAGGAGGAAGGCTTCGAAGCATTTGTAGCATCAAGTGAACCGCAGCCTAAATATCGTATTGTGCGGACACTGGGTGGGACATACCGAGTAAAGGCTGTGCGGACACTGGTACATTTGACCTTTTTATCATTTTCGCGGCATAAATAATAAATGACTGAATATTAAAATAAACATTGCATGTGTTTTAGAAACTAGAAACCCTAAGCTTCAAGATGGTTCAAGTCATTTGTACCAAGCATGCGTCTAAATGGGCTAAATTTGTATCACAATCTGAATTGTGGCTTAAGTGTGCGACCACTGGTACATTTACCTTACGCGACGGATTCCCGTCGGTCCGTAATCTCGATGGGAAACGCGCGTCCCCCCGCGGGATTCGTGCGATCGTCAACGCGAGAGCCGCGCGAGTTTAATCGCGTCGAACCGTCGATCTCCCGCGGACATCGTTCCGGGGGAACGGCATTGCTTGGGCAGAATTAAATTTTGGGAGTAGCCTCTGTAATATCCGCACGCACCCTCGGCACCTCTACCGTCGCTGCAGTTACGTACAACGCGACGCGCGGCACGTCGTCGCGAAAATCGGCACGCACGCACCTGATGCGACGGCGGACGGCGGTGGGTAGCGGCGTAGCGGCGCCCGGCAGACGGTTCCGCGCAGGGCGTGCGCGCGCAACCTCGGTACCTCGGCCCACGGCGGCGTTGCAGCAGGCGCGACGCGAAGAGGCGTCGAGCTTCGGCGGCGCGTCTGCGCAGCCGCAGCCGCGCGAGTGAAGAGCAGCCTCGCGGCGCGAGCGCCGTGAGAAGCCGCGAGGGTTGACCGGTAGACGGCGCAGCGTCGTGACGCAGACGCAGGCGGCCGAAACGACGCAACGGGAACGAGCGAAGCGTGTCATCGTCTGTCATCGTCGTCGACAGCGATTAACGAGCACGAGCGCGCGTCCTGTCCTGCGCGTTTAACGGCCGCGAGTCTCGAGGACGTTTGCCAGCCCCCTCGGAAGATCGGATTTAGCTGCGCACGATGGACGCGACACGGGGCAACGGCCGTCGAGAGGCGCGACGAGAGTGCGCCCCGTCGTCGATCCTGACGCAACTCGGAAGAGGCACTCGGCCAGGAAGAAAAGTCGCTCAACCGGGAAGAGAGGCTACCGCATTGACGGGCCGCGACACGCCAAGAAGACGCGGGTCGCCGTCACGTCGCAAATCCCCGATAAACACTGTAAGACACGAAAGGTCACTCCTACTGTTCGAACGATTCGAGGATCGGTTCCTTCGTTTCCTGCTGCGAAAGAATGCGAGATCGCTGCACAGATTCTTTTACAGATAGCGGCAGATCGCGTGCCGCAACGATATTGATGCCCGTGCGTGCAACTGTTACGATATCTAGCGCCGGAGAATTGTTGACAGTCTCTTGCGTCAACTTCTTCACATATATTTCCATCATTTACTGCTCTAGTTTTGCAGTAATTTAACTCTTTCATCAGTTACCGTATAGCAGGAATTCATGTGACATATAACTACTGTTTGACCGTTTCAAATCTTTGGCTTGCATATTTTTTTATGATATTAATACTATATAATTAAAATCATTTACATATGTCATAAATATAGGTATGGAAAATTTATGATTATAGAATGACAGAACGGCAACTTTTAAATTTCTTTCTTTTGTACATATAACAAACAATAATTCGTAACTTTTTATTACAAATTTATAACTAATTATAGTACTGTAAATAATTATATCTCACATCTCTCTCTTGTACAAAACGCCCATTGAACAAAGTATTATAAATCTAATTAAAATATAAATCGTGTCATGTATGTCACAAGTCCTTTTATAATTGCAGAGAATTTATGCTGTAAGTAGCAGATCTACAGAGGAAGATATCGTTATGGATACAAATTCTAGACGGAAAAATAGAAAAAATACAAAGGCAAGTTCAAAAAATCAACAACGGGAAGATATCAAATCTGAAGATAACGACAAGATCAAAGAAGTTTTGCTATGGCCAACATTCGATGAAGACATACGTTTATGCACAGGAAGTAGAAAATATCAGCATCTCATACGATTGCTTTTGCTCTACACCGAGTAAGACTTATCATTTACATCGATTATCAAGATCAATTTCAACGTTCAATTACTAAATCTTTTTACAAGTAGAAATCTTACGTGTGTGTTGGCAGTTGAATGGAAGAGATATACGTGAAAAATATGTAACTTTATGATTGCCATATTTCAGGAAAGTTTGTTCTAGCGTAGCAAAGCCTTCTAACGTACAAGATGATTTAAAAAACCATATTAAGAAAATGTTAATATTCTTTCATTTGTATTGGCTTGATATAAAACAGGTATTATTAATCGTTTTGCCGTATTATAGAATTGAGTATAAATGTAGTGTAATTGTTAATTTTTTACTTCTTCATTTTCTCTCTTTCTCTCTCTCAGGATAAAGCTGATCATAGTCGATATTTAAATGAAATATCAGTTTTGTTAAATGTATATATAGACATGGAGTTAAAACCTTACATGGAAGAAAGAACTTCTAGTCACATTAAAGAGTTTTCTAAAATTGCTACAAAGATTCTTGCAGCATTGTACATATACTTAAGTAAGTTACGTGTTAATGAAAATTGATTGATTTATACGAGCTGGCCGTGCTGATAGCTTAATCTAATATTAAACTGTTTACAGATAACTCGGAAGAGCATATTTTCAAGGTATTACTTAAAATTAAACAGATGACAGAAAAACACAATGAAGTTTGGAATAACATATTTAAGTATGTAAATATTTTTTTAACACATGTTATAAATTTGTAAATGTCTCGTGAACGATATTGAGATAATACAAAATACATTCATTCTACACAGGGAGAGGTTTACTAAACTCAAAACGAAGATGACTTCTATAACCGATAACTCTAAGTCTTTGGATCAAACTTGTCTACAACCAGGAAAATCTGAAAAAACTGAAGTAATTGATTTAACTGGAGATGATGAAATAACCACTCCTTGCAAAGTAAAAAGAAAAAAGACTAAACAAAAATCGAAATGGTCAAGAGTCACGAAAAACAAACCAAGAAGCAAAAAGCATCTCTCGAAATATTCAACCAAGCTCGTGAATGCCGATGTTAAAGAATGTTCTAATAAAGACAACTGTCATATTAATCCTAAAAAAGATGTTACAAAGAATCAAATGAGTAATATCTGTCCGGAATTTGCGAAAGAGGATGAGAAACAACATGACTTGGATTGCTCGAAGTCACAAATGTTTGTCGATCAAAATATTAAAGAGAATATCAAAGTTACGAAAGAAAGTAAATTGTTGAAAGAAAGTAAATTAGAAAATTGTGTATCATCATATATGACAATAGGAAATGCAACTAGTTGTACACAAAATAAGGGAGCATTAATATCTCAGGAAGAAAGTGCCATGGAGACAATACCTTTATTCAATACGTGCCAAAACAATATTGCAGATCAGCATTCTTTCAAGCAAGAATTACCAACAAGCACGAATTGTAGCGCGATGCAGAAGTCGCACAAGTGTTGTAATACAATGCCTGTTGACGAGCGTCACATTAATCACCTTATAATAAAGAAATTGAAGTCTATAAATGATCATAGTTCACAAATTACGGAAATTATAAAGCAGAAAGTATGTCATCAAGTTAATGAATGCCCGAATTGTTGTACAAAAATTGATTGTAAACCATTTATATTTACTAATGACATTACCGCGGCAAAAGCACAAGGGACTTTGCATAATACATTTAACGATGACGAAAACGATATCAAATTGGCCTGCGACAGCACGAATATAATTTACACACGAAGTGATCGCAATAAATGTATTTATGTTGTAAATCATTTCGATGAACATGTCATGACTGTGCATGAAAAGAGAGTGCAACGTCTAGATCAATCCAATGACGCGTGTACTGTTTCAACTACGTTTACCGAAGATCAAATTGTAAAACCACCATTGTCTAATCAATATGTCAATTTTGATAACATAAGAATGAATGATTACGACAATGCCGCCAAGTATTCTGAGGCTGCGATAAAGGAACAACAACAAAAAAGAATAGATTACGATTCGTCTATGTTAAACGATCGATTACATTCCTTAGAATCCTGCACATTTGGCATCAATTCTTTCGAGATTGGTTCAAATGCGGAAATAAATTACGATCTGAAAAGTTTCCCAAAAATAGAAGAAGCTGACGAGATAACGAAGACTGATTATGTAGATAACTTGGGGCACATCAATTTCTTAGATAATATCCAAAGTGAGACTCTTCTGGAAGATTCATTCCGGCAATTTTCTGAACCCCAAATCAATTACGACTATTTAACCAAAAAACCACTTATGTATACTGATAATGATACTATAGTAAAACCACAAGACACTTTGCACAATATATTTAATGCTGACGAAACACCTTATGATACAAATGTAATCTGTATGTTAAGCGATCACGATAAACGCATTTATCTTACAAATCATACTGGCGAGCACATTATGACTACAAGCGCTGAAAAGAAAATGCAACGTCCAAATAATTCTAATGACATATGTACTGTCTCAACCACGTTCACCGGAGATCAAATTGTAGAACCATCATTGGGCAGTCAGCACGTCAGTTCCAATAACGTTCTCATGTATATTGAAAATACGATGGAAGAACAAGAAAGAAGCAATTGCGATACTTCAATGTTGAACGAACATTCCTCTGAACTTTGTACATTTGATATCGACTCGTTTGAAGTAGATTCAAAAGAAGCTAATGAAATGAAAACTGATTGTGCAAACGACTTTGAAATATCAGAAAATATCAGTTTCTTACATAATATCCAAATGGAAACTTTGGAACATATATTATCGAATGATACCACTAATTTCCTCCTGTGAAGCTATTTCCTGAAGCAGTCTCGGTTTGAATTAGACAATGTATATACAGATACATCTTTAAGCGAAAGAAAAAACGTCCTGTGCAATAATCAAAATGACGCTATTGATAGTAGTATAGACTTGGTAGCCTCTCATTTAAATAATGTTAATGACACCTTTCTACGATTGCCAGCAAAGTCTGATAAATCTGTCAGTAAATCGTAATAAATTTCATCACAATGCCAAATACTTCTGTTAACTAATTCAAATATCGCTCTTCTAAACAAGGAGCCATGGAATTTCGATACTCTTCCTGATAAATTAAATAACGATGCCTTAACTAAATGTTTTTATGTATGCAAGAAAGAAAATGTTGAAGGCTTTTATAAGAGGATAGAGAACTAAACCAATTGTCAAATAAATTTTATATTCGAGAAAATTTTATCAAATTTGCTAACTTACTGAATATCATAAAGAAAAAATTCTGTCTCAACATCGTATTGCACAAAATATGTATTTCCGTCGTTGGAGAGATGATTCTGGCGGTCTTTGAATTAAGTTTCAAGTGAAATTAATTCGAAATATGATTGGTATATTTGTGAATATCAGTAAATCGCAAGTTAACAGATGTAACAGATTATTTACTAAAGAAACTATGAAGAAAGAAAATACAGTAACAAAATAAAGTGTTATAACGTTAACGAAAACAGTCATGTTGAAAAATCTCAAGAGATGAGCTACATCAAGTTTCTAAAGAATTTTATATACTTCTGGATATATCCACTGAGATCTGCCGTCAAAAAATCGCTTAATATCGTAAAAGGAATATTCCGCTTGAACATCTTATGCAACTGTATAATATATAATTTTATTTTGAATGAATCTTAATAGCAACTTAAGACTAAATCACAATAATAATTATAATTGACCATAAGGTAACAAATATCATTAAGAAGACTGTCAGATGTATCAAATTACCTATCACTGAAGAAACATCAAGGAAGAAAGAAAAAGAATCGTATCTATAGTTTCGTCCCTTCCAAACGCTAACAAAATTGTTTATTCTGGATCAATACGGTATTCGAAAAAGAGTTCTCATTTGCTACAGTAAAAGGTAACTCAATATTTGAATTTATATTTCGATATTATATCATTTAAGATTATTGTTTATTATATTTATAAAATTTGTAAAACATCACGGAAGATATTACACATCAAGATATTATAATATCTCCGAAGATTATCATATTTCTATATCACAAAATTAGTTTAGATTGGAGATACAAACTAAAGAACAAATTAAATTTTACTTATACATAAAAAATAAGGAAATTTAATATTAAGAATTATCCTTTATGTAGAAAACAATATTCAATTGTATGTATAAAACTTTGGTGATATTTAAAATGTCATATTTGTATATAATGTTAACATATCTAAATCATCTGTTTGAAGATAATTAGAAATTGTGTAAGAAATTAATGCTTTTTTATTAACAATCAACGCTTCATATATAATGCCTACACTTAATGATTTTTTTCATTTGATTTTCAGAGCTTATATATAAATATAGCTTAGCAGAACATGAAAAATAATACAGTGGGTGAGTACAACATTATACATTTATTGTGTAAAACCTCTCATTTCAAAACTTGGCTATTTCCATTATAATTAAGTTCTTAAGAAAAAAAAGACAAAATAAAATACGCACTTATCAACTTTTGCTATAATCACGAAGATAAACGGTTTAGATGTACGAGAATATTTTTAGAAACGCAATGTATACATCTGACATACCTACAGTAAGAAAAATTTAAAACATGACGACTGGAAAACATCAATTTTGAAATAATAATGATTTTGTAATAGATATAATTTTCTTTATAGATATAATTAGTACTTGTTATTTCGATCTCCAAACCAATTCACTATTCGTTATTTTCATAAATAAATTGTTCTGGATAATCTTTTATTAGAGATGACAAGTTTTGTAATGAGATCTCGAATATATTCTGGCCTTTTGCGATCCGATTTCCCTAGAATATGAATATTCTAATAAAATTATTCAAATTATTTTCATGTATGATGATTACATAAGAAAAGATATTTAAAAAATTGTATATATTTTACTTGATTTAAATAGCAATTAAAGGATATGTATTAACGAGTCTACTTACGATGTCATTTTCTTTACGTCTTGTTGGATTAGAACATTTGATATGAATTGCTAAATATAGTAAGATTGGATCACAAAGGCCTAAATATAATAAAGAAATTATGTTTACCATTTGCATTTGTTTATTACAGCGTGAAGATTGTCGTTTATGATCCTTATGAAGAAATCGCCAATTTTTAACTACTTGCATAATGCGCGGAGTCTCGTAATTTGATGATTAAAATAAAAATTGGACAGTACTGAAATTCATTATCATCTTAAAAGGTTCCAAGTTGTTATAATACACAACGCGATGTAATTCGTACAGTTATTCAGACATAATCTGTAAGATTAGAAGTCTGTATAGAGAAACAGCTGTTTTAAGTTATGCTCCATTACGATTATAGATTATCGTACCATATGATCAAGAAGCACTTCTAATAGACTTTTTTTTTAGAAATATGTATTTTATGTATATATACATATTACGCACGTATATTACGTTATAGTTGCATTTAAACATTAAGTAAGTATATGAATAATGCGAAGTACGTGTTGAAAAGAGAAAGAGGAACTAATTAATAGTAATCTCATCTACCTTGGTAAAAGTTAAATTTCTGAGGTATATTTCCGAAGTTATTGTAGAAGTAGAGTTAATAAAAATAACTAGTAAAGAATTTTATTACATGGATTATTATATTTAAAGAAAATACAAAAAAGATATTTTACTCGAAATTTTAAATAAGGCTGAAATAATTAATGATGGTTATATTAATTATTAGAACTAATACTCCCTGAATATACCAGTACTGAATATAATCCACAGAAAATTCAGTTTGAAAGCCACATACACATAAACACAACTAGAAATAATTTTCATATGTATAACTAGTGTATACTGTCTTTCTTGTTTTTTGTTTTTTTTTTTAGCTTAATTTAATCATTAGCAAAATAATATATGACAGTAGATGAAACTGGGTCGCTAAATATTTTATTGTGCGCGTTTATTGCTACTTGGCAATAAAAAGATATTTACTCTCTTGTGTAATTTATTTTTACTGCACTTTTCTCTGACGTATAAAAATCTGAACCAAATCGTAATTTCTATGAAATCTTTTGATTTAGCTATTATTTTGATTAAGTAATTCGAGATATATTTAGAGAAACAACCTTACAAATATTATTTTGTGCATAATTATTAAATGAAGTTTAACTTATTTTATCTAGTCGATGAGGTTGAATTCTTTATAGAAAGAAGAGTCCTATTTAGTATTGAGAGGTTTAATCTGTTGTATATTTCTCTATCAATATCCAATGTAGAGACTGATTTTGTGGTACCTTATACTTTTTACAAGTAGATACAAATCTTGGTAGAGAGACGTACTGTTATTGCTATTAGTATTAAACAGAGTGTTTTAAAGTTTGACAATGCTATCATAGATTATGATGTCAGAAAAATAATTGTTTAAATATGCAAAAATGATTTTGCGTGAATAGATTCGATAAAGCAAGTTTATAAAATGCGGTAAATACTGCTTTATGTTCAATGAACCATGCAGAATCGTAATTTCGAAATTTGCTTTGTCTCACTAAAACTATTTGGTAGATGAAAGGTTATTTGTTATCGTGAGTCATGTAAAATTGATGAGTATGTTGCCTCGCATCTGACATCGTAACACAAAATGCTTAATAACGAGTCTTTAAGGATAGAGTTACATTCCTATTTTCTCATATACTTTATTTATTAAATCGTATTAATTTTTACAAAGTAAAAACCATATGGTAAGGGACAATGCTTGCCATGATGCTGTGAAAATAATTTATTTTAATCAATATTAAATAAACCATTTACGATTCGAACTTGGCTCTTAGTAGCCTAATAATATTTTTTGCGTACTATACATATATTTTTTCCAATCTTAATAAACTGCGCGCCGGCTAACTTGTCAGACTTACATTAACACTGTTCCCGTTGGAGTAGTAAAAACCCCTCCCTCCCCCCCTGAATAAATCGATTCGATTTAACTTATGACGCTAACCATCTGAATAATTGTAAAGAATTTATTATGGAAAATATTACCTCAGCCAGGGTTCGAACTTAGACCTCCCTCATTCCGTGGGTGTCGAATATGTGTAGTAGGTACACAAGAAATATTATTAGGCTGCTAAGATCCAAGCTCGGACCGTAAATAGCATATTCAATATTGATTGATTGTATATCATAACGGTCTTAATTTCTTATATTAAATTTCCTGAATAGTTAAAATGCGTTGGGTATAAATGTTCCTTTAAGACTTCGTACTTCTAGTGAGATAGAAACGACAAAACGTAACCGTATGTAAATGTTTGCAAAATAGATAGATAATAGCTATTTTAAATTGCATGCATGTGTATAAGTTGCAGAAGAAAATATTTTATATCTTCAAAGTTGCATATTATAAGAGCATGTACACAAAATGACCATAAATTCGAGCACATGTTCCACACTCTGTGTAAATAGAGTGTGCATGGAAATTTATAACTATTCCGTTGTATACCTCGGATATTTTATATTTATTATAGAGAACCTCACTCCCCACTGAATGTGAATCACACTAAATTCTAAAAAAATATATGTATATACATATATATACATATATATATAAAATTTAATTTGAAAAAGTATAATTCGAAATTTACAGCCAGTAGATAGTAAATAAATGAATCTATTCTCTAGAATAAAGTTTATCCAAGAGGAGGGGAATATTCTTATTAGTTTTATCCTAAATGAATACAGTGCCCTGATAAACGTATATTTAAGAACCTGCATTCAAATATATATATATTTCAATATGGTACATTTCAGTATATTATCAAATAATCGTTACACATAAATAACAAATAAATATCAACTCTTACACAAGCAATAACATTGCTTCGTCACAGAATCAATGATATCCCATTTGGTGAAGATTTATTTTTTGGGAATAGTGCAATGGAAGCTTTAAAACTGTTTTCTTTATTGCATTATATTGTACATGTTTTTATTGAATGTACATGTCAGCGGTTTAAAACGTAATTCTAATCCTCTTCTGCAAATTTTATAGTAAAATGTTATTTATTTACAACTTCATCCTCTAGGCCTAAGAACACAGCTGTATCTTTTTTTCCTTCATCCTTATTATATACAAAATATTTATGTAATAAATACTGTATGTGTACTGTGTAAGGAACTTCTATCAAATTTGTTAAAAGAAGTCAGACCTGGTTATGCAGTTTGTATGCGTAGGAGTTTTGAAATAATATACAAATTTATCATATATCTATCAAATTATGCAAGTTATATTATGTTATGTTATATATTTCTTTGTAAAATATCAATATGAAAGGCAGAATATGTTTAGATGATGCTTCCACACGGTTTTAAACCAAGTTTATTCGCTTGCCGCTCATACCGCGTAAAATATCTAAGTATGCAGTTAGATTAATAAAGATTATAATGATATTTAGTCGAGTACTCTGTGAGTCATGTAATACATCTAATTTTATCGAATTCAAATCTTTATGTACGACCTATTAATATTTTTTACATGAAAGTGTTCAAAAATTCTCATGTATAAGTTCAATCATTGTATATATATGTAGATCTACGATAAATTATTAATCCATTTTCGATATTAATTGCGTTCTATGTGTAAAAAGATTGTATTGTGATAAGTTAATCCATGATGTACAACAATGCAGAGACTGAAAAAAAAAAGAATAAAAGTTCAATTTTTAATACATTCGAGTTATTCATTTATTACGCGAAATTGTACAAAATCAATTCGAAAACTCAGTATTTAGTTCTGAAACATTTCGGTAATCTATGTAAAAAGAAATATGCTATTTTCATTAGAATGCAGAATTTGATATTCGTATATGCAAGATCGTTAAATTACTACTATCATTTTTAGAAGCATTTAATACATTTTCTCTCACTATGTATATTTAATTCGTAGATACTTGCTTTTTATTATTTAGCATAGGATATAGAATATATGTGTATGAAAACCGATACTGAAATCTCATTAATCTTGTTTGCATGGAAAAATAATTGCAATATAACGGCGTAATAAATACATTTGACGTGACCAACGTATACCTAAAAATATATTTACAGATCTTGGACGATGTCATTATTAGCGTGTATAAAAACGCTTCACTAAAATTGAAAGGAAAAGTTGTGCTAATTAGATACACTTGTAAAATAAACTAGTGTCTGATGAAAGGAGGTGCCTGTAATTATATGTAAACTAACGAATATTATAAGCTTGCCGAGTATTTTTTTTTCGCTTTTACCCTGTTCAGAGGTGTACTATATTCTATTTTTAGTCAATAAGTATACATACTTATGTAAAATATAATGAACCCGATGCTGCAAGCATCAAAAGCATATTAATGTTTTACCCTGTTGAGAGTTTTTCTAACATTTCTATTCTTACTTCGTAGATAATAGCGATGAATCTATAGTTCCAGTGAGTATAATATAGAGAGAGGTAAATATATTAGTATTTTTTCATATGTGCAGTATATTTACCTCGATTTTATGCAGTCGACATTTTATGTAATGCACATAATGTACAAATATAGGTAAATACAGGTTTATTTATTATTATACGAAAAAGATGGTTCTACGCATACACAATACTGAATTTTTGATGAACACGAATTAATGAGGCATCTGATGTAAAGTACTTTACTATACTAACTTGATTAATGTTTAAGACGTCAGACTTTCCTTAATAAATGCTTTATGCGTACAATAATTTATTTATGATTAATGATCTATTTATATTCGATCCATATGTATGAAGACTTTTGGCAATTTTGATGAACTAATTATTTATAGCTATAGTAACTTATAAATTTATTTGTGTTAAACTTAAGCCTATCAGACTTATCGCATTGTAAATTAATAAATAAATAGTAATAATAAGATTCATTATCGGTAATGAAAAAGACGCGCCTTTCAGTCAAGTGTGTGAAATATAGTTTAAAATCTAATTCAAATAGTTGAAAATGAGGAAACAGTTAACGTAAGAGGTATAGCAGTCTACAATTAAAAAAAATTCTCTAACTACAATCATTTTTACGAAGACGAACAAATGTATAACAATGACAAGTGTGACAGTGACAAGTAATCTATCGAGTAGACTACTTAACAAGGTACATTTCCTTTTTGTACAACAAAATGTTAGCTACAGCTTAGCTAATGATCACAGATGTGAGATCAGGTATAGGGATATGGCACTGAAGTTATGCATTACATGAACCAAATCTATCTCGAAATAATTAAACGTAGTTAGGACATTCATATTAAAATAATATAGTGACGCTGACTGGTTCAGGTTTAACACAGGGACTACAATGTGACTTAATTTGTTCAGATCAGATACACATCATAACAAAAAAACAGTTTAATAGTAATAGATACTCTGAAATCATTAACATAAGATATAAATATTAAATTGAATGAGCACACATGAGCATTTTTTTTCATAAGAACCATTTAGAATATAATATACAGCATTTAAAAATTATATTGTTCTTAAAAATTTACCTCATAAAATTCATGTTATGTTAAATTTAATATAATTTAATTAAATGCCATATATTAATGTTAATCGGTTCTTAAAGTAAGATTCCAGACATATGAACTGAAATACTAAATAATTACATAGGAACAAGCTATACGATGCTTGCTAGTTGTAAAGCTTTTCTATCTTGGTAACTATCGATATCTAAATTGTGCATTTTTCCTTGCATGCCTCAGTTTCATTTTATTTATCAAGCTCGATTAGTCATTTTATTTTTTAGAATACGTAGCTCGTGTAGCCCTCGCGTAGCTCGCGTTTTTTAACGAAAGATGGACATTTGTATTACAAGAAAAATATATGGATTACTTTCAATTACGTAGCATACTATCTCTTCTTTCTTTTTCAACGGGACCTGAAGTTTCTTGTTATCGTACGAATCGGCTGACTCAACTACTCTACTTATTTTGATAGGTACCTGTATGTATATAAGTTTATATTAAACAATAGCTTTTTTTCTTGATATAATATAGGGCTGCATCTCTATATATAATAAGAGGACAGATTGTGGAAGAAATTAAACATTTCCAGTTTTTTATAATTGTACGGCAATACAAATAATTTTGCACCATTTGGCGAATTTATTGACATTATGTGCTTGCATTAAACACTTGCCCAAAGTTATTCAAGTATAAGCGGGTAATTAATCTGAAATACAAAACATATGCTATAAAAATATGTGTGAAGCCGTATGTGTATCTCTATGAAATTATAACAAATCGGAAAAGCTATTATATCGCGATTAAATATAATACCAGAACTGCGAGATTTAGTATCGTTTGTCAGATATTTATGATACAGAATGCTATCAATATATATTACATGATAGTGTAGAAATACCTATGCAAACATGCTCCTGGTACGTTGTGTATCCTGTTTGTGTTCAATGAATTTGTATTTTTAGATTTTATACATTTTTAACTTTCAATCGTCAACCTGGTCGTATTACATTCCTGAATCTAAATTTGTCTTCTTCAGGAACCTGGAGAAAAATTTATACATAATTATTTATCATCATGAATCATTCATACAGAATAAAATACAATAATAATATTTGTAGTATCTTTCTATTCTACAATTGTAATAAGAGTAAAGAGAAATGACATGTAAAAACATAATAATAATGATATGATTAATAATCTATGTAAACATAAACATTTATACATAATATTTTTGATATGTTTGATTTTATATCATTTTGCTCAAGCATTCTTTACGCGTCAGCAAACAATTCAAAATTGCAAACTATCCTATTATATAAAATTACCTTACCTTAAAAATGATATTACTTCAAGATACGTTTCCATCAAATAAGTTTTTGTTTGGCATTGATTATGTATGTACATATATGTATAATATATATTTATACGAAAAACTGTACAGAAACTTGAATCTTAATTTACAAGAATTTAAAAAATTTTATGCTTAAGAAAATTATAGTTAGCGACAAACGTCGCTGCAACCATGACAATAGAAAAACATTAAATTTAAATATTATCTTACAAAGCCTTATATCATTTACAATATCGCAAGGAGTAGAGACAGACGATGTTAAACCATAGTTTAACATATCCAGTTATGACAGTAGAGTAAAAAATCAGGCCATTTAATTTGCGAAAAGCGCAACCAACAACATAGCAGCATTGCATATACTGCTAAAGTTGTTAAGTTTGTTTTGCTCGCTTTTATACTAAAAGCGCTTGCAAATGTCATTATCATTTGACTTTGAAGAGCTTTAGCAAAAAAATAATGTCAATTTCCTAACAAATAAATCATCATTACTCGCTACTAACAGTCGCTTTTTCAAAAGAGGTAGTGTAAACTAAACTTCCAGCTTCAGACAAATGCAATATTCTAGTTTAAATCATGGTGTAAAAAGAAGATATATCATTTCCATGTGATTAAAATAATAGCTGCCTTTTGAAGAGAGTTGACTCAAATGTGAAAAGCAACGTGGCTCCTTCCATGATGTGCAACAGGTATTATATGTTATTAACCGTCATGTGCTTAGTGAAAGAGATCCGCGTATTTTATCGATGTGGAGTAGAATATTATTTAAGTAAGTCACAAAAATATTTATCGACCGTGAAACAAAATAAAGTAAAACCAAATGTGTCAACTTATTATTAGGTCTGTTCTGTTCGAAAAAGAACAGACCTATTAGTATATGCTACACATTATATTTTGTTTACAGAAACGATGCCATCGTGTGAGAAACTGTAGAAGTCGTACGTACCAAAGTGATATAAAAAAAATTACATTTTTCAGATTTTTAAAAAAAACCACAATGCCTGTGAACGAAATGAAACAAATCTAAGGCTGATATTTATAGTCATATCTTAAATATCTGACTATGAATACCGCTTTATAAGTTGATTTAAATGCTATAATTAATGTATTTGTTACTTTTTGTATATGATATACATCGTACCGAATCGTGAGACAAGTTTTTAAAATTTGAGGAAAAAATATGCGTAAGAAAAAATCTAAAAAAATATATAGATGTAATAAAGAAAGTGTACATAAAAAATAAAATAACGTTATAAATAAACGCATTTATTCATTATTTTAATGTACTAATTTTTATATACTTACTTTCGCATTACGAATAACACGGCTTCTAAAACTTAATGAGAAAAATTATATTAAACTGTTATCAAACGAAATAAAACATTGTAAAGAAATAATTTAATAAAAATTTAATTTTAAAACATATATTCTCTAATTTTACGACAATTTTATCGTGAAATGTGTCATTTTCCGCAGCCAAGGATATACCGATAGATTACGTGATCATAAATAAAGATGCCGACGCTTACTGTCGCAACTGAATATGTCTAAACTATGGTTCAACGGAATAAAATTCTCTACAACTTGCTTCTAGCGATATCTAACCAAACATCAAAAATATTTTATGCAGGAGTCTTCTATATAGCTAATGTAACTCTTCGCTGACGCTAATCTTGAACACGCTGCTGAACGATCTATCTCTAAATCTTCCTAGGAAGAGTTGTTTTCGTTTCCACTTTGTACATATATTTACAGATTTACAGTGCCACAGCTTGAAGAACACATTTGTCCTCTATACAGGTTGCTTCCTTTTTCTCTTTCATTTTTACAGCAATGACTTCTCGTAATGAAATAGTATT